GGCTACTTGATTTGGAGGATACCATGAGAATATGCGATCTTCTACAGATAATCTTGTGTATGCACAATAAGCTGCCATAGGACGTTGCCTGTTCCCATCATCCGTTAAAACTGAGTTATGATTGGAAATAGTGGTAGAAACTCTATCTTTTGCAAACATTGGCAATTACATGTGACAAAGTAGTCACTACTTTGCCTCATGTACATCTTTAAATTCAAAGAAGTTCCAACACTGTCAGAAAGAGTTTTTCATAAAGATTAATAGCGAGTCGCTTTAGGCACGTATTTATTACATTTTGTATTTTTTTTTATTATTATTTAGAATGTAAAGGGACACTGTAGGCACCTAGTGCTGCAATGTTAACCATTGTAGTTACAGAGAAACTGCAATGTTTACATTGTAAATCTTAGTTTGCCCACAGTGGTTGTCTACTAGCCACTAGAGGGCTTCCTGGAACGAAACAGACCTTTTATCTGGTAACTGATGCTGGACGCCCTCATGCTATGCGTTTACCCGCCACCGAGAGACATTGACGCAGGGATAAGGTAAGTAAATAAAGGTGTTTTTACCCTTTATTTACCTAGGGGTGACATGAGGGAGGGGGAGTAGGGGGAGCTATAGTACCAACAGCTTTGTATTCCTGGTATCCCTTTAAAGGTGAGTTCATGCAAATAAAATGTGAATGAAATGTCATTTATTTGCATGAATTTTGTTGTGGTTCACATGCAAACTGTTACTTCTCTGGATACTCCACCATTTACTAAAATGTTGAAAACCACCTATAACAAAGTTTTTTAGGAGATGCTCTGTTATAGCAATTGACACATCACATTACAGCTAAGTTCCTAAACAGGCACAACTAGGGCTAGATTTCCCATTAGCCAGAGTAGGCACCTGTATACAGGTACCGGTCCACTAAGGGGCGCCTGTTTTCAAACCGTATAATGTCTTTTTAAGCTTAAAGGGACACTATAGCAGGGCCGGTGCAAGCATTTTTGGCACTCTAGGCGAAAACAAATTTGTCGCCCCATTTGTTTCACGCAATCATGCAGACTAACACACACTCTGACTCAAGTAGACACACAATGACCATGCAAACTGACACACATGCACTAACCCATGTAGACTGATGTACACAGACTCATATATACACACTGATCCATGCAGACACACACCCTGTTCCAAATTATTATGCAAATGTATTTTTCTAATTTACCTAAATAATTGATGTAAATAACAGTCAGCATAATTCTCATGTTATCAACTACTAAGAGTACAATTCAAATTTTATTGAACAAACCTCCTAATGATAACAGTATTTTTTTTAAACATAAAAAAAATACAATGCACTGTTCCAAATTATTACGTACGGTAAATTTCAAAACACTTTATAGATTGTAAAGAACTGAAAACTGTAATTTGTTGTGTTTGCAGCATATTTACTGAAATCAAAAGCTATTTCAATCAACCTTATAACAACATTTAAACATTTTAACAGGTCACATTACATTTTAACATAGGACCCCTTATTTGATAGCAGCTTCACAAGTCTTGCATCCATTGAGTTTTTGGACAGTTTCTGCTTGAATTTGTTTGCAAGATGTCAGAATAGCCTCCCAGAGCTACTGTTTGGATGTAAACTGCCTCCCACCCTCATAGATTTTTTGCTTGAGGATGCTCCAAAGGATCAGGGGGGGATGGAGGCCACACCATGACTTTCTCTCCTTTTATCACCATAGCAGCCATTGATGCAGAGGTATTCTTTGCAGCATGAGATGGTGCATTGTCATGCATGAAGATGATTTTATTACGGAAAGCATAGTTCTTCCTTCTGTACCAGGGAAGAAACTCCACATACTTTGCAGAGGTCATCTTTACACCTTCGGGGACCCTAAAGGGGCTGACCAGCTGTCTTCCCATGATACCGGCCCAAAACATGACTCACCCACCACCTTGCTGACGTCACAGCCTTGTTGGAACAGGGTGGCCGTCCACCAACCATCCACTACTCCATCCATCTGGACCATCCAGGGTTGCACGGCACTCATCAGTGAACAGGACTGTTTGAAAATTAGTCTTCATGTATTTTTCTGCCCAATGCAGCCGTTTCTGCTTGTGAGCATTGGTTAGTGGTGGCCGAATAGAAGGTTTATGCACAGTTGTAAGACTCTGGAGGACTCTACACCTTGATGTCTGTGGGACTCCACTGTTTGCTGCTATGTAATGGTATTTTAGCAGCTGCTCTCTTGATCCGATGCATGGATCTGGCAGAAATCTTCCTAAATGTGCCTTTATCTGCACAAACCCGTCTGTGCTCTGAATCAGCCACAAATCTTTTAATAGTGCGATGATCACGCTTAAGGTTTCGTGAAATATCTAATGTTTTCATACCTCATCCAAGGCATTGAACTATTTCACTCTTTTCGGAAGCAGAGAGATTCTTTTTCTTCCCCATATTGAAAATGGCGCTCTGCTTAATAATGTGGAACACCCTCCTTTAGTAGTTTTTCCTTAAATTGGGCTCACCTGTCAATCTAATTATCACAGGTGTCCGAGATTGTTTTCAGTGATCAAAAGAGCCCTGAGACACAATGCCATGAGTTAAACTGAAAAACTAAATATTTAATCTTTGTGACACTTAAATAGAATTTGCATAATAATTTGGAACAGGGTGTACAGACACACTTACCCATGCAGACACACACATACAGACAGACAGACACACTGACCCATGCAGACACACACATACAGACAGACAGACACACTGACCATGCAAACTGATACACACACACTGACCCATGCAAACTGACACACACGCACTAACCCATGTAGACTGACACACACTGACCCATATGCACGCACTGATCCATGCAGACACACTCATACAGACACACTGACCAATGCAAACACACACATACAGACACACATATAGACACACTGACCCATGCAGACACACAGTGGCCCATGCAGACACAGACACTGACCCATACAGACAGACGCTGACCCATACAGACAGACGCTGACGCATACAGACACACACTGACCCATACAGACACACACTGACCCATACAGACAAACAGACATTACACACATGACATATATACACACTGATCCATGCAGACTGACATAGATAAACATACTGATTGAAGCAGACTAACACACATTCTCTGACATACCTTACCTTCATTGCTGTTCGTTGCCTGCGCCTGGCTTCCCATCAAGTCCTTTCTTAGCATATTTCCTGTTCCTGTTATGCTCTCTCCACGTACAGGGGAAGGGGCGGGAGTGAAGCATTAAAGCGCCCACGTGCTGCCTCCGCCGCCGCAATGGATGCCTGGGAGGGACCTGTCTCTGAGGGCTATTAAGTATGTCTTCGGACTGAGATTCTACCGTGTGCTAGTCAGCAACAAAGTAAGTGCTTCCAAGCGCCCGGTAAAATGGCAGGCGGCATACTCATAATAATCTGCGTTGATGGTTGGGCGGCTGCAGCACAAACATAAAGTCCTGCACTATAGTCACCAGAACAACTACAGTTTACTGTAGTTGTTCTTTTATCTATAGCATTTCTCTGCAGGCATTTTAATGTAAATGCTGCCTTTTCAGGAAAAAGGCAGTATTTACATTACTGCCTAGGAACACCTCTAGTGAGGTGCTTCCCTAGAAGAGCTTCCTGCGTCAGTGCAGCACAATGCTGAACTTTCCTCATAGAGATGCAATGATTCAATGCATCTCTATTAGAGGAGATGCTGATTGGCCCAGTAGGGAGTTTTGCCATGCATGCACATTAGCCTCCCGATACTTTCCTATGTGAAAGCATTCAAGGGACTGAAATAATCAGAATTGATTACATCAGACAAGGAAGAGGAGCATGGACTGGGACAGCTGCAATGAGACCTTTGTGGTGCTGGAAAAAGAAGGTAAGCAAATATATTTTTTACGGATGAGGGGGCAAGCGGGGGCAGGAGAACTAAATTTGTATTCATGACACTATAGTTTTCCTTTAAATAGGCTGGCAGCAAGAGATAAGTATTAGGAGCCTTGGCCAGTGTCTTTTGTAGTCCATTAACAACAGACCGGCATCAACAGTTTTAGAGAGTGTAAAACTCAATGCTGTCCCAGCTCCTCCAGTATCTGTGTGTAATCTGTCTAATCCCTCAGCTCCACCCCAATGTGTATCATTCATCCAGCTCCCCCCAATCTGTCTCATTCCCCATAGTCCCCCCAATGTGTCTCATTCCCACAGCCTCCCCAATGTTTCTCATTCCCCCTTATGTCTCATTCCCCAGCTCCACCAATGTGGCTCATTCCCCCAATTTCCCCCAATCTGTCTCATTCCCCCAGACCTCACCAATGTGTCTCATTTCTAACCACCCCCCACCCCCCCCTGTTTTACCCCTTACCACCTCTCCTTCCATGTGTCTCCTCATCATCTTCCTGTAATGTGGCACAGTGCAGGCCGGGGAAGAAGAGCTTCACTAACCTCTCCCCAGTACTTCAGTACTTAAAGCCTAAACATGAAAATAAACCCTTCACCTCAATCCTAGGTTTAACGTCTCTAAAAAAACGATACACCTCATGTACCCTAAAAACTAAATTTAAAACCCATCTAGCACTAAACTAAAATTTGTTAGGTTGAAGAGCACGGTGCACCTTAGAATGTTGTCCGTACAGGCTCTCGACATGTAAATCTTCCCCTGGATAGGACACAGATTGCATTATACTAGGAGTTGTACTTTTCTGGAATTTGTTTCTAGAATCAATTAGCAGTTCTGACAGTTTTTAACACTATTAAATGTGCAAGAGTTTTCTTTTCTGTTACTTTTTGTGCACATATTCATTTTGCACAAGAACACTACTGGACATAATTATGGAGGCGCAAACATCTGTCAGAATATACAAAGAACAAAGCTTCTGTGCTACTAGCTTCTTTCTAAAGAAGAATCTGAGGAGATGTAACGATTTGTAATTTATATACTAATATAATGTCTTCTTACTCTCAGTTCCAGAGGAGAGTGAAACATTTGAAGGAAAAACTTGTCCAACCTGCTGGAAATTGAACTACAACAATGAATGTGTTCCAGAAACTGACATAGTGTGCAGGGGGAAAGATGACCTGTGCTACAGCTACGTGGGTACCTGGCGTGACCAAGGTAATTTCCCAAGCTTCCATTACCTACTTGTATAATGCTTGTAAGATAAAACAGATTGATGTAGGGGTCTGGAGTGTTCCTTTAAGTACGGTTTAAGTAAATTATCTGTAGCCATAGAAACCAAGTAACAATGTAGACATATTCACCTTTAATTCTTATGTGTCCTGGATCATATTAACTCTATGGAACATTCCTGGAGATGTTGAAGATATATTTGATGTCAGGGAATCTGGATGAGACTCCTTGCAATATTGAACATATGTTTCATCAATGATTTTTTAAACTTAGATGTAAAGCTCGGATTGGGAAAAAACGTACTTTAGGATAGTTCAGAAAATAGAAAAATAAGTATTTTACAAAGTAGACAAGGAAATACAGTTTGTACTCCATCGGTTATATTCCATAAAATGACTGATAGCAGCAAGATGGCTGACAGCAAAGCAATAGCAGGTTCTACATGTTATCATTAGTATCAGTTAAGCCTTTAAAACACCAGCAGATGTTTGCAGCTTATGAATACTGACACAGTCAATGCTTGAGTTTAAGGTTTCCGCAAAACTCGCAGTCACTTCCACTGAGTCTGACCCCTATTTAGTATTTAATGTTTTACAAACTGATGTACATCAAGAAAAATGTCCGAACTGAAAGCAGAGCTGACTTAGAGAATTTTTTCATTTAAGTTATTTTAACCTTAAATTTGAAATTCACTTTGAATTCATCTTGAACTATTATTATCAGTAAATAACCCTTAATTTAGCAAATAACCTTGGGGGAGTATACAATCCATGTTTAGTGAAAATAAGATGCTGTGTACCCACAAGGTCCAGTTAGCTAAAATTATTTGATTTACTTTTCATAAAAAGACAACTGCTGAACAGATTTAAAAACGATCAGTGCAAGTTGTAGCGGGATTTAAAGTTTGTGGAAAATATCTGATAACAGTGCCAAATAAAAATTCTGTCTAGATTTTTAAATATTTACAGATAATATTTACATTGTTTTTGTTAACCCCCTTAAGGACAATGGGTGTGCTATGCCATCCTTAAGGAGGGTGACATAGCATGTTTAGTCATTCCGCCGCAATTCCTGAAATTCTGCACTTACCTAGAATGGCAATCTGTGGCAATCCTGGTCAGGGGGAACTGCCAGACAACCCAGACAGTCCCACTGTAGCAACTCCGCCCCTCCAGCCCTCCAAAAACAAAATGTGTTTAACCCCTTAAGGACACATGACATGTGTGACATGTCATGATTCCATTTTACTCCAGAAATGTGGTCCTTAAGGGGTTAAATGATCACTATAGTGCCAGGAAAACAAACTATAAGGGAAGGAAGGGGTTAAACACTCACCTTTCTTCAGCGCCGGGCTCTCTCGGCGCTGGGGAATCTCCTCCCTCTTCTGATGTCATCGGCTGAATGCGCATGCGTGGCAAGAGCCGCGCCATTCAGCCAGTCCATAGGAAAGCATTCTCAATGCTTTCCTATGGACGCTGGCCTCTTCTCACTGTGAGAAGTGCGGAAGCGCCTCTAGCGGCTGTCAATGAGAGGGGTTAAAGTAAACATAGCAGTTTCGCTGAAACTGCTATGTTTACAGCAGGCAGGGTTAATTCAAGTTGGACCTTGCACCCAGACCACTACATTAAGCTGAAGTGGTCTGGGTGCCTATAGTGGTCCTTTAACTAATCACAAAATGACATACATATATAATTGCCTGACCAACGTTTCGACCCATTCGGGCCTTCCCTATCTTGAGGAAGACCTGAACTGACTGAAATGTGGGTCAGACAACCATGTCATTTGTGATTAATTAATTTTAAATAAATTAAGATTTATTAGTCTTTATAGATTCAATGTGGGTTGGCACCAAGGCAGTACCCAATTATTTTCCTGTGCAGGGTGAGTGCCAAATTGTTTCTGATTTATATATATGTACATATCTATTAATTTTGCATAATTACGTGATTTTATTAATGATAATTTGATGGACCTGCCAGACAACCGAGTAAGAAAATCCAGAGAGTTTACTTTGCAAGCATTATATTAGACCGTATAACTTTCCAAAAACACCAAAAAACCTGAATGTTGTACCCGGGAGACTTTTTTAAAACAGTAAAATGTATCATGATGGTGATATCATTAGTGAAAATGCAGTTTTTGTGTAAAAAATGCAAAAAAACTAATATGAATTTTGCAAAAATAGAAAAGCCCTATATTTGACTTTGTAAATTTCCAAAACCCCTTAAAACCTTTACATGGGGGCTGCTGCTGTACTCATGAGACATTTCTGAATACAAATATGTGTATTTTATTGCAGTAAAAGCTAACAGTATTACAAAATTCACCGTTCAAATGTCATGCAGAACTTGAAAAATAACACAATTTCTTAATTTCTCACAATTTTTTATGTTTTTTTCGTATAAAATAATGTTTTATATATATGATGTGAAATGAAAACCCTATTTCCCCTGAACAAAATGATATATAATACGTCTGGGTGCACCTAATATGAAAGAGGTAAATTATGGTTGATAGTGATGTCCCGAACTGTTCGCGAACGGCGAACGGTTCGCGAACGGTTCGCCACGAACGGTTTGCCGAGGACTCCAGTCAGCAGACACATTCCAGCCAATCAGCAGCAGACCCTCCCTCCCAGACCCTCCCACCTCCTGGACAGCATCCATTTTGAAACTGCATTCTTAGCGAGCTGTCCAGGAGGTTGGAGGGTCTGGGAGGGAGGGTCTGCTGCTGATTGGCTGGAATGTGTTTGCTGACTGGAGTCCGTGGCGAACCGTTCGCTGCGAACCGTGGCGAACCGTTCGGCGAACAGTTCAGGACATCACTAATGGTTGAACATATAGATCAAATTCCAAGTTTTGTTTTGGACTTGTTTTGCTTAATGAGTTAATGTAAATTCAGTTATATATTGTAACAAACCACCTCTTTTACAGGTAGGATTTTGTCACAGATCTTACAATAAACCACAGCCTTCTAGGGTATATAAAGTCCAGGACACATTCAGTTAGGTTTTCCTTTTTTATTGGATAGGAAAAACAGCTGCTTTAAATCATAATAAATAAAACAAAATTCCTTGCTCTTACTTGAGCTCTTACTAGACAGAAATCACTATCTGTAATTGGGTGGCTTTCCCACTTACCAATTTCCCCCCAAAAAACGAAATAGCTTTGCAATAAACACAATTGTTGTGTGCTCTGCCTCTCGCTCTGCCTCTCGCTCTGCCTCTCGCTCTGCCTCTCGCTCTGCCTCTCGCTCTGCCTCTCGCTCTGCCTCTCGCTCTGCCTCTCGCTCTCCTAGCTGGCTTTTTCTCCCTCACTCTGCAGCAGGCTGATCTCTTCTTTTAAAGGCCTGCCTGCTAATTGACCAGCTACAGTTGAGTGCCAATTAGTTAACTCTTAAGCTAAATCAAAATTCTGGTCTGTTACACAGCAACTAGTGTTGCTCTCCAAATGCTCCATCCCAGGGACCCATACCGTGTTTTGCAGAGCATCAGCTATGCATATTGCAAACTTTAACATCTCTCCCTGGTTCCTTTGACTGAAAATTCTCTGGTTGCTGTTTAGCAAATAAGGCCTGATGTAACTTCCATCAACCACTATTCCACTTTTTCGCTCACAATATGAACAATTTGTTTAAATATACAATGTTTCAACATTGTGCTCTCTCTTTATTTCATCTCTTTTTTATTTCACCTTTACAGGTGGCAACGGAATACAGAGTTCTGAGAAAGGATGCATGGATCCCTTTATATGTAAAGATAAATTTGGTTTCATAACCGGCGTGGAGGAAAGCCAAAGAACAGTCTTAACTTGCACTTAAATAAAATAAAAAAAACAAATAAATAACCTATTCTAATAAGGTTTGTAATCACCAAAATAAACTTCTGTTTAAGTTTAATAAAAGTATTTGTGTTTTGGTGACAAAAAAGAAATTTAATTATCACAAAAAATAAATAAATAAATGTAGTCAATGTAAAATGTTCCTAATTTGGACTGGTTATTTTAGTTCCTCCGTATACTGGAGCAATTTGCTATGATTATTACAGCCCCTCTCATGATTCTGGAATACCAAGAAAGAAGCTGAGAAGTCAAACACACTGTTTCTGTCTCCTCAGCTCCTCTCCTGGCAAATTGGTTTTCTGAGAGAGGCTGAAAGACCTGTGCCAGCTACAAATAATAGCTGTTGCTAGTTGTAGAACTCCCACCAAAGTTTGATAGGCCAAGACATGTATATTATAATGTTGCATTGAAATCCCAAGTCTTGCATGGAATTTGACAACATTGTCTGCCTGTGGAAATAGTGGGCATATAATGTAATATAAAACACACACACATACATTGAAAAAAGACTCAGCACCATCAAATCAAACCTTTCACTAACCTATAGTTGCTCCAAAAGTAGGTGAAAACACAGTTTGTAATGATTTCCAATTGTACCAATTAAAAAATCCATGTTGACTCCATAGATTTCTTCTTCGATCAATAATACAGAGTGTATCCCAACCGATTTCCTTGGATGTAGATCCTTAGATCCAAAAAATCGATTTGGGTTGTACTCCATTGAGAGGTCAATTTCACCGGGGAATTTAGTGCATTCAATGATCATATTCGTAAATGTTTGCTAATCTCCTCTCCAAATTATTAACACATCATCGATGAAACGGAGGTATTTGATGATGTGATTGCCATACCTCTGGATAATGTTTGTTTCTTCACACGAGTGCATAAAAGCATTGGCATACATGGGAGCCATCAGCTCCGTTTCATCGATGATGTGTTAATAATTTGGAGAGGAGATGAGCAAACATTTACGAATATGATTACCTCATTGAATGCACTAAATTCCCCGGTGAAATTGACCTCTCAATGGAGTACAACCCAAATAGATTTTTGGGATCTAAGGATCTACATCCAAGGAAATCGGTTGGGATACACTCTGTATTCTAAAGACATTGACAGGAATTCAATTCTCCATGCATCAAGTTT